ATCCAATTCCCGATCCCGCCTACCCTCACTCGTGAACAAGACCCCGAGATACTTAAACTCCTCCACTTGAGGCAGTACGTCTATCCTCTTAAACACAGGGATAAACAATATCCAACTAAGGATAAACTAAAACAAGGAAACAAAAGACTAAACACTAGGAAAAACAAAAAGGCAAATAAATCAAATCAAATTTATGCTAGTGATGGACAAAATGACGCTTCTTGAAACATTTTTTTGACCCCACTAGATGGCGCTCTTGGTTTGCTTTGGGCATGTTTTGTGCCCTTTTTGAACAGAAAGCACTATCTAGTAGAGTCAAAGAAAATCAGCAAATGGTTCATGAAGCGTCATTTTGTCCTTCACTACCATGTGCATTTCCTTCAGCTTGATCGACCCATATGGAGGGAAGCATGTGATCATCAGTCAGGATCGATTCGGCTTGTGGCACAACACGCTGTCTGAGGAGGCTCCTGTCAGCATCATCCTGAAGGTGAGCTGCTTCACCTGGCCTGTTAACCAAATGTTACCAACACCAATGAGAAAAAACTGCATAAACTATTTACATAAAAGAAACACTTTGCATAGACTATATATGCTTCAGGGATCTGTGAGTGTTTATTATCCACTGAGTGTAACACTGCATTACTGTCAGTTGGGTTCCATATTTTAATTGGAACAAACTCAACAACAGTTTGTTTCATCACACTTTTAATTGTGGTACTTTTCTGCTATGTCAATAGTAAGTGAACTGTGCTACTGAAATTAGTTATTTAACTAGCTATGTATGGCTAAAATTATTGTTATTGCTGATAATAGATCACTAAATTGAAATGATGATTTTGTAGTATTGTAGATGCGGGGTGTGGTGCAGGCGGGAAATGGTGACGATCCACTTGCAGCTCAGATACTAACGGGGGTTTATCGAAATAAAGAACACTGGGGAAATGCACAAAGAAACAGGACCACGAGGAGTCAAAAGCAAACGGGGAAAACAAATGATAACTACAAGTAACAAAGGTGGGAAGCAGGGTGACACCAGGAACCAAGCTAAGGGAACAGGGGAGTAACATCAGCACAGCACATAATGCATGCAGTAACTCACTGGAGAACAGAGCAGGACAGCCACTTACATAGAAAACTGGGGCAAACAAGGAACATGTGTAAGACAATCAATTAACCAATTATCAAACACTAACACAAGGAAAAAGGGGGAACTAATAACACCTAATGGACACAGAAACTAGCTATAGGGAGCGTTAGAAATACCAAAAACTAGGAAAGATTAACTGGGAATTAACACTAGGAATGAAGTGCAAGGCAGGGGCAGAGAACCATAAACAAGACTAATTAAACACAGGGATAAACAATATCCAACTAAGGATAAACTAAAACAAGGAAACAAAAGACTAAACACTAGGAAAAACAAAAAGGCAAATAAATCAAATCAAATTTATTTATAGAGCACATTTAAAAACAATAATGTTGACCAAAGTGCTTTACATTAAAAAATAAGTCATGGAACATCAAATTTAAAACACCTAAAAATAATAATAAACTACAATAGATATGGACCACCAGAAAGTACAGCCTCACTGCTAATTAAAACCCAGGGATTAAAAGTGAGTTTTGAGACGAGATTTAAAAACGGAGAGGCTAGGAGCCAGTCTGATGTGACGAAGCAGTTCATTCCACAACCTGGATGCAAGGACCGAGAACGCTCTGTCACCCCTATTCTTTAGCCGTGCCCGTGGAATAAGTAAAAGGGACTGGTCTGCAGACCTCAAAGATCTCAATGGAGAATAAGATTCTAAAAGATCAGCAATATACGATGGAGCTATGTTCTGTCGATATATGCTGCCTTGTCGAAAAATGCTACCGTAGTGCTAATCGATAGCCCTAACACTAACCCTAACCCCCCAAAACCCATAAAACCCTTACCTTAACCCCTAAAACCTAACCCTAATCCCAAGACGGTGGAACTGCACATGCGCAGAAAGGCTCGATAGCACGTCTCGATAGGTAGTATTTTTTGACAGAACCCCGGCATAAAGAGCATTACAATAGTCAAGGTGCGTTGTAATAAAAGCATGAACAACCCCTCTTAAAGACATTAAAATATTTAAATGGCTTAATTTTAGAGAGGTGCCTTAATTGAAATAATTGGCTTCAAACCAACAACTGCAGTGTAAACAGCCTCTGTGCCGCACGCTCAACCCACTGATTTATGCGACAGCAATTACGTATTCAAATAGAATATTGCAAAAAAAAATTTTGCCTTTTCTGTTTCAAAATCCAGTGGGCAGGTCACTGTGATTCCTGCAGTTAAAGTTCTTCTTCCAGGTAAGATTATCACTGCAGAACCATTTCGGCTATAGCTAGTAGCTGTTACAGTGGTGAATTATGTAGCTATTCTCAGTAGTCGAGTTGTAAAAACACATGCAAAACTGATTTTTTTTTTAAATCAGTTATAAATCACTGTTTTAACAGCACTTTAAACGTGGTGTTCATGTAATTTATAGACCAATTATTTCTCAAGAACCCATATAATTGACAAAAAAGGTATAACGATACTATCCACATACGCACGCATATGGCATCAGTGATTAATATTTCATCCATAGTAATTAAAAATGTAATTTTTTTATTTAATTTCCTTCCATTTTTGGTTATACCACATGAGCACATGGTCACTAAATGATTTAAGGACTTCATGAGTTTCAATAATTAGTCAAAAAGCCCATAGACACATACCGTACAACAAGGATATTTTTATTATTTCATGAAATAAGTGCAATACAAATCAGAGAACTTAACAGTGAAATACAATGCATATCATAAAAATAAGACTGAAATAGAGCTTTGAGGACTAACCCCAGGCATCTTGGAACTTTACCCAGTCTAGGCCAGTCAACTCTGGCCTTTTTTCCCTCCCTGTAACTCCTGGATGCAGCCCACTGTTTATTGGTCTCTGTTTCTTCCTCTCGGTCACCCTGAGCTCATTTGACTTGATATATTTAATCAGTCTCTGCTGTTTTCTTATATGATATCTAAAATAGTGATGTATAATATTATGACATGCTTTCATTCTGTTTCAGTGGTAGACAATGGTAGAATAAAGTTGCATGTTACCATAAAAAAAACTATTAAGAATCCTTAACTAATTACAATTAGACCACAGTAATTTTTTCTTCTTTTTTAGCTTTCTTCTAGCAAGATATTCTTTTGCTAGAGGGATAAGCATTAACACAGTGCCTATGGCACCCTGATTGTTTTACTTGTTAAGGACATATGGGTAATAGGTTAAAATGGTTATAAAACATGTTATTAATGTAATGAATAGGTAATAAACGCAATTACCACTGTGAATTTTCATTCAGTTAATCATTTTGGTACTTTTCATATGAATTATCAACCCATCTGAATGAAAACTGTGTTGAAATTATGGAAAAACATGTAGCAATTTCAGGTAAAATTATGCCTTATATATGTAAGCTAATGTATATTTAAGCTAAGCTAAAACAATTTTATATGGCAGTTCGTTACACATGTAACCAGTGTTCTACAACAAAGCAAAATTAAAAGTTTTCATGTCTGTGAAATGTACACATTCACATACAGTATAATTCTTAACTGCCTGCTCACTGTTTTTAGCCTACAGTTTCAGTTTGATCCCTGATATCATCACTCTCACTTCATCATATTTCTATAAACTGGATGTGACTCCTGAAGTGCAGGGTCTCTGTCATTGGCCGCAGTCTTCACCATGTAAGATAAGATACACAAGACATTGTGAAGTCACACACTATTAATATCTTGAAACATCTTTGATTATAAGTAGAAAGTGTCACGACGTCTGCGGGACACAGACCTGGGAAACAAAGGCAGGACTCCAGGGGTAGGGAGATTACGGGGTTTAATTGAAGGGAAGACAAGCAGGACCAGTGAATAAGCAAAACAACACGCACTGACATTAATGACAGGGGAAACATACTTGAACGCAGACTTATATACACAAGACTAATTACCAACAATGGGAAACAGCTGGTAACACGAAGATTCCACACAAGGTAGCGAGGGGGCGTGGCACACGGGAGGATCGGACGCGCAGGACATGACAATAAGAGACTCACCATCAGAGTGTTATACTCAGGTGACCTTTTACTCACATCTATAACTGCATATGTAATATTGTCAGAATCAGAATGACAGCTCTGTAGAGACAAAACGTTATATGTAGGTTTTTGCATTTCATTTATATTGACTTGCTGAAGAGTTTTATTCACAGTGACCATTTTAACAGTTTCTGCAGGGTGATATTTAGCTGGAGAAATTCAGGTTTAGTACCTCATTCAATGGTGCTACAGCAGAACCCTTACAAAGCCTGACTACTGGCTGATACAGTTCATTGACTACAGCTGTAAGAGGATTCTGAGTTACAGCTTTCTGGTTTTATTTGCATGTAACATACACTCCCAACTTTTATCGAATTTAGGTTTGTACATGGTAACTACAATTTAATTTAACTGAGTATTACCAGAACAGCAGTTTGCTTTTTCTGTGAAAATGGTCTTACACTGAACCCCTTACATTACAGTCATCTCACCTGTTTAATTTCTCCTCTGTTACCTCTTCTGTTACACAGTAATTTAATCTTCCTCCTAAAAGAGACAATATCAGGGAGCTCCTGAGCGGGAACACGGCACACTGACAAGGTGATGTGTAAGAGATGTGTCCCAACCATGTACGAAAGCAGCCGATACAATTATCAGTGTTGGGCAGTTCAGGTCCAGAAATTATGAATCCAGATTTTGTTTCTATCAATCAGTTGAGCATAAAGAGTCACAATCACAGAGAACTGTTGGTAGAAACAAAATCTTGGTCTGGATTTGTAGTTTCTAGACCTGAAATGCCCAATACTGATAATTATACTATTACAGTTGAATGAATCAGCAGTATTCCTGCACCCACTAGTGTCATGAATGGGAGTTTACCGGGGAAGACGGTTAGGTTAGCTGGTTAGATGTCACCAGCTATTAGGATAAAAGGGCAGGCAGGACAAAGGGAAGGGAAAACAGTGAGGATTGGAGAGAGAAAGGGGGTCTCTGGAGCAGCGGGAGAGGGAGGGGTCTTGTTTTTGAGGGCATCACTCTGGATTTCATTGCATTGACTTTAATCATGTTAATTTAGGCGTTTTGTGTGGAGTTGCTGATATCTGAATGCTTGGTGCGGATGATCCTGATAAACATGCAGAGGATGAAGGGAAGCCAGTTACCTGTTTCACCGAATCAACTATAACATCAATAAATAAATATTTTCGAATACTGAAAATGTTAAAAAAAAACATTAATTATTTTAAAGCAAATGAATCCTGAAACACTCACCTTATTATGCAAATTATCATAAGTAAAACAGACATCAGAATTCCCAAAACCATTAGGATTACTGTTGTTGGATTACCTTTAGCTGAAAAGAGACAAAAGTGTTATATACTGTAAAAGGGAATTATAAATATCTGCTGTGCCAATAAAAAATGCATGTTAATCAAGACAAATCTCTTTTTATTATTACTCTTAATTCTGTTTCTATTGGTATTTTTATATTTTGAGCATTTGAGCCCAAAACAAAACTGTGAGTATCAGACTGTATCTGACAAAATACTCACATTGAAGAAGAAGTAGGATGGGATTAGACAAAGTCCCTCTATATCCTTTTAATGCACATGAGTATTTTCCAGTGTGATGGTAGGAGACAGGATTGAAAAGGAGTGTGGGCCGTGTCTCTGTGATTGGCTGGTTGTCCTTAAACCAGGTGAATTCTGATTGGCTGAGAGAGCAGCTCTCCGTGTCACATGTCAGATTCACGGAATCTCCTTCAGTCAATGTTCTACTTCCAGCAGAGGAAGTTATCACAACCTTTAATTCTGGAATTTTACAATATTCGGAATTAGTAATACAGTAGGCATTTTCTGCATTTGAGGTATTTCTATCACAAGGCCTAAGATGGCAAAGAGTATAAATCTTAAAACTAGCAATAAGCATTGTTCAGAAGCACATCTCATGCTTTGCAGTGCAGTTAGCTTCTGAATTGTATCATCTCCTTTCTGATATTCTGTTGTTCATTAATGAGCATCGGCAGCAGTGATTCTGATTCTGTCATTTATAAGGTTTCTACAATAAAATAGGTATCTGCCATAGAATGCAATTTGTCTACGCTATGTGATACAAATACTTTGGTGAAACTTCAAACAGACATAGACTCACCACCAACACGAAGTGCTACTCCACGCTGACCACACTGTTCACACCCATTACTTGTAAACCTAAATCTGTACACTCCAGCATCAGTGTCAGTAATGTCATTTATCTTTAACATGCAGTTCCTCACTTTGTCCCCCAAACACTCTGCTCTGCCTCTGTACTCAGCTTTGATGTTTATATTATTACTGTGACAGACATATGATTTTCCAGTACAATCCTCTGAGTTACGGCTCCACATCATCGACTCCACATTGAATGACTTTGGGTAATGATATTCACATTGAATCACCACAGTTGATCCCCTTACTGCACAAAGGGTTTCCTCTGGGTAATCTACAGTCCATGCACCACCTAATACCAACAAAAAAAAAAACATATTGAAAAGTTAAATCGA